CTCTGCTGAAATCTGAAAATGCTCTGATATGATGATCGTGTAAGCAGGTTGCTGTGTTCCCTCGTGAACACGCCAGGGGAGGCACGATGCTCTTGGCCTTGTACCGTTTTTCCCTTTACATAGTTGCACCTTGTGTCTGGCCAGGCCGTGGTCTGAAGGCCAGCTCATGCTCTTCACAGCTGTTTTCTCCCCTTTTCTGAACGCTTTGGCCTCTGGCCCTCCTTTGACAGCAGCTTCCACAAGCCTCGGGGCTGCGCCTGGAGAGAGCCTCCCCCTCCCCTGGCCCCGCTGGGGAATCTCGTGGGCAGTGATGGGGCTCAGCCTGAGCCTTGGCCAGGGCTGCTGCTGGCTCTGATGCAGCAAGGCCAGCTGGGCCCGCACTGGTGGCAGTAGGGGTGGAAAGTGGCCTGACCTTTAAGTGATGTCTGGCAGGGGGCAGCTGACAGGGTTTCTGGAATCTGATTCACCTGGTAGTCTTTTGGAGGGAAAATGAGCTTGTCTGAGGCTTCTATTTCCTGATATTTGAGAGGACAGGGTTGAAAGAGGCTCTGCAGGTTTCCTGTGACTCTGATAGAAGCGTCTGTGTTCACGTGTTTCAGGTTGGGGCCAGTGGAGGCTCTGCTAACTCCAAGCTCAGTGAGCCTCCTTCCATATCCCAAAGTCTGGCTTTTTAGGAATACTTGCTGCGGCCCCAGTCGCCGTTGAGAGCTGCAAAGGTAGCTGTGCAGAAGACGAAAGGAAACAAACCGGCTTTCTTTAATTTTGCTTAATAAGTAAATGACTCAAAAATTCATGTCTCTTGAAAAATGTGTATATAGTTAAAAAGGAAATTATTATTAATTGAAGGCATGTGAACATTAAGAGTGTTCTTGCCCTGCCAAATTCAGAAGGAAATTCCCAAATTACTCAGATTTTCAGTGATGATGCATCCCCCCCAAAGACCTAATGGCACTTAATTATATCTTAACTGATCAGCTGCTTAAAAGATATTGATAACCTATTTCTACCTTAGATTTCTGTTAGTTCCTCCAACTTGCACAAGAGTTGATAAAATTATCCATTTTTTTAAATATAAAAAAATGTTGAGTAAATTGATACCACTTACATACTTCTGGAGGGAGCTAATATATCAGATTACAAGGTCTTTTCTAGTTTGTTTAATTAACCCTTGGGTCTATTTTCTCATGAAAATCCAATTATTTTGAATTTCCTTAATTTTCTCTACTTTTTTGTCATATAAACTAACAATAACTTATTTAAGATTATAAAATTGCAAGATAGAGTTGAGCTAAATTAATGAATGTGTAATCATATCTTTATAGAAAGAGATTAGTTTGTGTAATGCTAAAAGATCACACAGACTTAACATGTCAACATAAATTGTAATTTCCAGGGCCTTACTTTAAGACCTTAAACCAATATTAATTTGAGTTAATCCTAAACAACCTTTGGATAGTTGAACAACGTGATTTTAAAATACCCCTACTGGGATGAAAGTACAGCATAGGGAATATAGTCAATACTATTGTAATACCTTCATATGGTGACAGATGGTAACTAAGCTTATCATACTGTTTAGTAATGTATATAATTGTTGAATCACTATACTGTACACACCTTAATCCAATGTATCAACTATACTTTAATTAAAAAAAGAACCCTACTGTTATTTAATATACCATAACACAGCCAGCAGTAACAGATTGAAAGCTTATACAAATACCCTTGGTTTATGTTAATGTACATACTGGTTTTTAAAGAAAGGTTAAAAAAAAAGTATGACAATAGGGAAGTGCATATGTAAAATAATGGATGTGTTTTTTCTGTTTATCAAGGAGAAAAAAAGAATAATTTTATCTTAAACTAAAAATGCTCTCGTCATGCCAAAACATAAAAGCAGGTAATTAAGAGACAAATTTAAGGTTGTGCCATAAGCTTAGATGGTCTGAAGGGAAGTAAATTTCATTTTCTTGTGCTAAAAATAGCCAAACATAATGAGTTTGAAAGGAGAAATGGCCTGTTAAATTTTTTAATAAAGTTGGCTCGATGTTTGTTAATGTAATCCTTAGTGTGTATTCTTTACTTTGAATTGTCACACAAATGATACATACAAAGAATAAAACTAGAATTGAGATTGTCTGCCTGTTTGTACAACCAATTTAACCTATTTCCAAACAACAGAAGTCCCTTCTTGTCATTAACATATTCTGTTAGCTCTCCTTCCTTCTGGTATATTTCTACACTTTAACAAAACTTCCTTCTTTTTGAAGAAACTAGTGTTTTCTAATAATTGTTACTACCTATTGCTGTATGGTTTTTTAATAACATTGTAAATATTGCTTACCATTAAATACTTACAAGATAAGTTCATATCTTGTATCCTGACAACTCTTCCAAATTTTACCTTGCCCAAATTCAATCTCTGTATTCAGAATATATAATTGTTAAGATGTCTTTTACATCAAACTATTTATAGATTTTTTAGTTGTCCACAAATAACACACAAATTTTTTTTCACTTTATAAAAGGGCAGATAGGAAAAATAATTAGCTTGACATTCTCCAGATGATCGACTAGCTCAACACAATTATTAGAACCATCCTGTTTATTCCTGCTTATCAAAAAGAAACATTCAGCTTTAGTAGGTAAGTAATTATAAGTAAAATGAATTAATTTAAACATTTCAGTGATTCTACTGAAGCAATCAGACTCACATTTTACTTTGAAAAGAAACATTCTGATGTTCATATACAAAGACTGACACAGTAATTGTCAACACATTCATTTACTTTTAATTTTGTCCCTAGGTTTAAATGTCCTGTTTATTGATGACATTCTTACTTCATGGCATAAAACAAAGGCCCTGGAGATTTGCCAGCGCCCTCACTCTGTCATGCAAATTGACTGCGTATTACACCATAATACAAGACTCCACATTCTTCCATTCTCAGTTAATCAGAACCATTTCATCTTATTATTACCGGTGATAATTAATCTTACAATTACAGATGTTATTTCCTTTCTCCTTGCATCTATTAAAGGCCCCTGCCAGAAGCTTAAGATCAGGAATTAAGTCTTCTGGAAGAAGTAAGAGAAGAACATCAATAAAGAACTGAACCTGGTGCTCTTGACTTTTGCTACCACAAGATATACACCCCTGGGTCCGACTTCCCTGAAGAAGCTGCCACGGTTACCACGAACCCCTTAGACTAAACCAAGTGACCAAGTCAGACTCCCTAGATTCTGGTCTATATTCAAACCGGGGTCAGCAGACTAGGGCCTTCAGGACAAATCCAACTACCTATCTCTTTTTGTAAATAAAGTTTTATTGGAACACTACCGTGCTCATTGCATTACTATTATCTCTAGCTGTTTACCCACTACAACAGCAGAGATGATTGCATAGAGTATACAACTGATCTAAAAACATATGACTTTGGAGAAGTAGACTACCTAACCCAAGATCACAAAATAAAAATGTATTACCTAGGACCAAATGGACTAAATGAACCGATTTCATTATGATTAATATTCATAAGAATTGACATAAGAAAAAAAAAACCTTTCTTTTTAATCTGTTTCTTAACTTCATTTTAGCAGATTATACCTACAAAAAGTGGAATGGAGCACTCCTTTACAAAATTTTTTAAAATTTATTTTTATTTAACCCAACATATCCACAAGATTAACATTTCAACATGTTATCAACCCAAAAGATATGAATGAGATCTCTACCTTTTTTTATTCTGTATCTTCAAGCACAGTATTTATTTTTGTACTTACAGCCCACTGAAGCACTTCTTAAATGTCATTTTTTCCCAATTGAACTTTCAAATTTCAAAAGAAAAAAAATCCCATGAGAGATCTTAATATAGATTAATATATAATATGTAATAAAGAAGCTAATATGTCAGCAGGACAATTTTTTAAATTCTTGTAGAGAATGACATATTGATTGGCCTTATCTATAAAACAATGAGAACAAACATTAAATAATAAGGGAAGTGCCTTTACTAAGTTCTTTTATTTTTTATGACCAAATTCCCTATTTTATAAATTTAAGGGAGAAAAGATGTCACCAAATTGATAATAGTTTATCTGCCTCTAGAGGGAATTAATACTTATGCTCACGTAGGTTCCTTATTAGGTTCAATAAGAATCTGTCCTCTTCCCAGAATGTAGGTAAATATTGACTATGCCAAAAATTCCCCTTAACCAGGAACAAGACCATTATTAAGAAACAAGCCTACACTTTATGTGTGGGAATGACATCTATGAAGTCCTTCCAGGAAAACTTCTTGGGACAACTTTAGGACTTATGAAATTCCAGCCTTACAGACAGTAACATATTTCATTTCCTGTTAGGCCAGAAATCTTAACAAACATGGGAATCTTAGAGAAAATCATGCTGAGAAGGATATAAAATTCTTCTGATATATAAAAGCAATCACAACCCTGAGCGCTTAGCAAAGCCTCCAGACAGAAGTGCACTGTAAAGCCTCAGTACCGTGTGGTTCTGACTTGTTAGTCACTTAAAAAGAAAAGTGTTTCTGTATTAATCAACACCTCTTGTGTTGCTACGGAAATAAACTTTAGCCAAGTAAAACAAGATTATCAGTTGAATGATGCCGAATCAGAGCAACTGTTAATCAACTTAAATTTTCTCATTGGCAAGAACTCGCCCACAAGGGAAGAAAAACTGTAGAAGTAAAAAAACTGAGACTCAGCTTCCTTCGCGCCTGAGTGCCACGGGGGGCGGGCACATTTTGCAGCTGGAGATTCACCGAAACCAAAACCAAGAACAAGCAACCAACTACAGATTATCCTGAGTGGTTCAGAACCACAAAATCATGAACCTTGACTATTTCTCGTAAATACGGACTCTCTGACGAGAACGATTTGATCCCTGATTTACGTGTTGTGAGTAAGATGAGCCGGAGACAAAGGTGCTCATTTCCACCAGGAATGTGCCGGCCTTGGTCATCTCCTCTTCCCTTTAAATACTGGTTGGGTTTTGTCTTTGACGAGCCAATCTTTGTTTCTGAAGTCTGACGACTCCTTTTCACTTTTCGCCATTGTTTTCTTGCCTGGATGTTTCCATCTGTGAGTTTTTGACAGCATCTACTAGGTGCGACACCAATACAGTGTTGGAGCCAAGGATTTGGAAATGAATTTGAACTCCTGTCTGGCAGAAGTCCACCCATCACTTCCAAGGTGGTTGGGGGCAGCAGTTACTAACTTTCTGTGGGCTCAGCTCCAAGTGGTTATTTTAAAAGGTGCCCCAGGAAAAGCAAAGCAGTAACTTGTGGAGTGAGAATCCTAAATTGGGTCCTTAGCTAAATGTCCAGACTCTGGGTGTGAGCAGGGTTGTCATACCGTCAAATGTCTAGGCAGCAACTCAAAATCACTCTTTTCTTATCACAGGAAGTGATGCAAACATGAAGCCCATGCTGCTTGCTGTGCACGAATAATAAGTCCTTTGTCTCTGGCTTAGGATTCTCAAGTCTTCTGCCAGAATCCAGGGAAGTGTGGCTCTCTCATTAGCTTGCAAGTAGCATAAAATCTCAGGCCTTTCATAGTTATTGACAGGTAAGAAGATGGCATATACAAAGGCCCTGTGGTAGGAGAAAGTAGAGAAAACTATAAGGATTTGAAAGAAGGCATGCATGGGTGGGGTGTAGGGAGTAAACAGGGGAGGCATGGCGTGAGATGAGGCTGGCAGCTGGTGAGCCGTGGGACCCTTGGCCAATCCTGCAATATAGTCCCACCATTTGTTTTGACAATGCCACCTTCATGCAGAACATGTGATAATAAACTGAGTTCGGGGGAGCATAGGACAACAAGATTTGGGCCAATCTAAGCCTATGAGATGCTTTTTAACCAAGGAAAAGAGTGAAAATCGGAGGCATTTTATTAACATCCTGAACCCTGTTATGAAAATGTTTGCACACATGCTATTTTGTAATCCCTCTATTAGAGATCAGGCGAAGCACATCTTGGTGCCCCAATAAACAGGGAACAGTTACCACTAACTGTCACTGCTGTCAATCATCTAGGGTACAAAAAGAGCCAGGCACCTTAAAAGGGAGAAGTCGTAACATTTTAGTACGCACAGAGTATGTATGACTCTGGACAAATCACTTTTCGCCCTCTCCTCTTACAGTAAGAGGAGGAGGTGTCCCAGGTCACAGGAAGAGGAGGGAAGGGATTAGGGGGGAAGGGAGGGGCCCCACCTGGAGAAGGCTGCGAAACCAGTGCTGTGAACCTCCGGTTATTACCTAACGTCACTGTGGAAATAAAAGATTCTGTTGAGAAGCCCTCTGACCCACTCTGGCTCTTGGCATTCTGAAAATTTCACTCACTGCCTGTTAATTTATAATCTGCAAGAATGCAGTTGTTCTAGATCTTTAGCCAAAAAGAGGATCCACAAACGGGCCGAATCATGTAACTTGTCATTAAGAAGTCTTGCTCTTTCTTAAGAGTGATAAGAAGTCACTGACGGATTTAGAGAGGGTGATGTGATTAGGCTTGGGCTTCCAAAACATGCTTGAGAGAGGAATGGAGAGTGCGGAGATGACCGATTTTCTAAGATGCATCGTTCCTGCAGAAACTCAGTGCCCTGTATTTACCCCTCGGCAATTCACTGCAGCCCTCGGATTGACAGATCCTTTCTTGCTCATTAAACCTGCATTTCAAAAAGGAAGTAAAACAGCACCAGGCTTAAAGAGTTGTCTTGGGAAACTTCCCACCCCTCTCCAGCCTTTTAAAATCATTTATTTATTTATTATTAAAGTACAGTTGATACATGATATTGTATTCATTTCAGGTGTACAAAATAGTGATTTGGCAATTATATATATTATGAAATGCTCATCATGATAAGTATAGTTATCATCTGTCACCATACAAAGTTATCACAATATTATTAACTAAATAGTCCTCTGCTGTACTTTTAAGCCCTGTGACTTATTTATTTTGTAATTGGAAGTCCACATCCCTCTCACCTATTTTGCCCTTCCCCCACTCCCCAACTGGCAACCACCAGTTTTTTCCCTGTATCTATGTTTTAGTTTTTCTTTTATTTCACTTCTAAGTGAAATCATATGATATTGCCTTTCCTGTTTGACTTTTTTCACTTGGCATAATACCCTGCAGGTCCAACAAAGTTGTTGCAAATGGCAAGATTTCCTTCTTTTTATGGCTGAGTAATACTCCATTGTACATATGCATCCCGTCTTTTTTATCCATTCACCTATATTTTTTAACTGGAATAAAGTTGATATGCAATGGTATATTGGTTTCAGATGTACACCATAGTGACTTGATAAAAAACATTACTAAATGCTTGCCATGGTAAGTGTAGTTACCCCTTATTACCATACCAAGATATTATAATACTTTTGGTTATATTCTTTATATTGTACTTCCTATCCATTCATCTACTGATGGACATTTAGATTGCTTCCATATCTTGGCTGTTGTAAATAAGGTTGCAATAACTATAGCTGTACATATATCTTTTCAAATTAGTGTTTTTCTTTTCTTCAGATAAATTCTAAGAAGTGGAATTGCTAGATGATATGGTATTCTATTTTTAATTTTTGAGAAACCTCCACACTGTTTTCCATGCTGGCTGCACCAGTTTACATTCCTGCCCACAATGCACAAGCGGTCCCTTTAAATAATTCACACATCAGTTTCTAAAAGGCTCTCTGGACCTCACCTTGTCTTTCAGGCCGGACTATGGGAAACAGCATGGAGAAAGTTTGAGGTGGGGAGCAGGTCAGGAAGGGTCCCGCGGGCTTCTGGAAGAAAATAAGTAACAGCTTTGTTTGGTGTGCTGGGTAACAGAGCTCAGTTATGCCCAGTTTCAACCTGGCCAAGGGCCTGGACCAAGAGCTGGTGATGTAAAGGTAGAGGCTGCCAGAAAAGCCCAGAAACTGCTAGCAAGAAAAGTGAGCAGTGGCGGAGGGGGGTCGTGAGGGGTGTGCAGAAGGCAAGGGAGGAAGGAAGGTCTTTGGAAATGCAGCTGAATCATGCAGCCCACCCAGGAGCCCCCAGCTCATCCCCTCAGTAGCTCTTCTGCTGGCAGGTGCCTTATGAAGACTTGGCTCAAGTTTTCAAAACTTTCCAAGGTTTCCCAATTCTTCTTAGAGGTGTTCCTCCCCCGCCTGGTCCCAGACTGGCAGTTCCTTCACTGATACTCCCTCGGTTCCTGTAAAGGGGATGGTCTGGGCTCAGGGGCGTGGAGTGGGACAGGCATAAAAAGGAGGCTCCAGACCTGGGGACCAGGCTCTGTCTAAGCAGCTGGGCACCAGACATTGGAGGGAGTGGAAGAGGCCAGGCGCGGCCCACTTCCGCTGCAGCGAGGATGGGTCTGAGCACAGCTCAGACAGGTCTCTGGCTGGCCAAGGCGGGTCGGGTTGTGGGTTCTCACACTGAGAGGCCCCGGCAGCCCTCAGAGCCACTGCATGGAAGGACTGGGGTCCTGCCTGCTGGTGGCTGGTGGGGAGGGAGGGGCAGAGCCAGAAGTGGGACAGGAGTGGGAGAAGGAAGGGGGGAGGAGGCTGGCATTAACCCCTGGATTGCCCGGGGCTGGAGGAGCGGGCAGAAGGGCAGGTGCGCACACGGGGGTCTAACCCTGGATTCCCCTCAGGCTTTGTGGTCCTGCTGCTGCTCCAGAGCTGTAAGTAACCCCCTTCCCAAGATGTGGGGAGGCAGGAGGGCGGTGTGGGGGTTTCCAGTTTCTTCTGTGATTCAAGTGACTCAGAAATATTAACATTTGTTCAACCAAGATGATGAACCTAGGGATGTTTATTATATTATTCTCTTACTTTTCTGTGTATTTGAAATGTTTCAAAATAAAATACTTTCAAAGGCTCAGGTTCAGTGAAGACTTCGTTCGGCCAGTGGCCTTGCGGGGGGCACTGACAGGACCCCCACAGCAGCACTTGGTGACCCTACCGTCACCAGGAAGTGACGAGAAGGCAGCCCAGGCTCCTTCTCAGCAGGAGGAATTAGTATGAGAGCCCAGGAAGGGCTTCCCAGCCCACTGAGACAGTGCCCCAGCTGGGGGACGGGCTAAAGGCCCGGGCACTGCCATTCTGGGTGGGTAACAGGAAGGCAGAGAAGAGATTCTGCTGTGGGCCCTGGAAGTCTCTGCCCTGAAGGTCAGGGTCTTCTGACACTGGCTGTCCTGAGCTGGGTCCCTCCTCTCCTTCAAAGCCCCTGCCTCCAAGAAGCCTTCTTTCCTTGCACAGAATCCTATTTCACCTTTATTCACCAGTGCCTCCCCTCACCCTGCAAAGTTCCCTGTTCTGAATCTGCGAGATATTCAACCCACTGCCCTTGATGTGTGCTGAGCATTTTCAGGACAGGCTTTGTTTTCCTCAGACAGCGAACTTCCCAGAGGCAGAGGGAACTAAGCCAGCCCTTCATTTAGAATTTGACCTTTGCTCACCACTCCAACTGCCGCTCAGCTCAGGGCTCAGCCCAAGGGTCCCCAGCTCCATCCAGGCCCAGGCCCCACTCCAGACCCCTCCTTAGGCTCTGCATACAAACTGGTCTGCTACTACACCAGCTGGTCCCAGTACCGGGAGGGCGACGGGAGCTGCTTCCCGGATGCCATCGACCCCTTCCTCTGCACCCACGTCATCTACAGCTTTGCCAACATAAGCAACGATGAGATCGACACCTGGGAGTGGAATGACGTGACACTCTATGACACGCTGAACACACTCAAGGACAGGTTGGGCCACTGGCTGGCCAGGCCAGGAGGAGCAGAGGGGGTTAGATGGACTGGCCCCAGGACAGGGCACCCCCACTCAAGGGAATGGGTGGTGGCCCCCAGGTCAGCCTCTGGGTGGAGATTGGGGGGCTTAAGAGGGAGGAGGTCATGAGGGCAGGTGTTGGGCAGTATTTGGGGTGAGGACAGAGGCAGACCCTGGGGGAAAGGAGGCCTCTACCCCCTGGGGGGCCTCTGCAGGGGTGCGGGAAACACTCATGGCTCTCTTTTGCCGTGCCCCGGCTTCCCCACTGCGGGGAGCACAGCTGGGCAGTATCCCTCCGAGTAACTGCCACATGGTCTGTGGCCTTGAGGATACCGAGTCTCAGAGCCAGAAGGACCGCAGAGGCCTAAGTCAGCAGAGCTAGAAGCCTGCAAGAGCCCCTAAACATGAGGCTGTCTGATGCTGCAGCTCCATTCCACCCCGCCCTCCTGTGCCCCACAGGAACCCCGGCCTGAAGACCCTCCTGTCTGTTGGGGGATGGAACTTTGGTTCACAAAGGTAGGACCCAGTCCCCAGAGGGTGGCGGAATAGCAAGGAGGCAGAGGTGTCCCCACCCACTGTGTGGGCATCATGGGGCCCCAGACTGGTTAGGCACAGGGGCCCGCCTCCCATTCCGCCAAGAAACCAGAGCCCAGAGATGGAGAGGGACTTGCCAAGAGTCACACAGCAAGTTGACAGTGGAACTTCAGATTCCCTGCCCATGCTCTTTTTATTGTCTCTCAGACCTGAAAACAGCAGGGGGATACTGCCCTGAGGAAAGGATGGAGGAATGGGAAATCTGGGCGTGGAGAGACGCTGGGAGGACTTCCTGGAGGGGGTGGAATCGTAGCAAGCCTTAAGAAGCGGGTTAGATGCGGCCCCAATAGCTGCCGTTTCTTGAGTGGTTACCGTGGGTCAGGCTGCCCAGCCACTATCACATGTGATCCTCACAACAGTGCCGTGAGATGTCGTGATCATCCCATTTTACAGATGAGAGAACCGAGCCTCCAGTTATAACCTGCCCCAAGGGACTTGGCTAGTGGTTGTTAGAGCCCCACTTGGGAACCAGGAACGTCCACTTCACCGCTCTTTCCAACACGCCCTTCGAGAGCCGGGGGTTCAGGCCCCTGGCTCCAAAGTGTGGGAAACACCACCCAGAGGCCAAGGCACCCGGCATGTCAGGGCTGAGCCCTCTACTGGGGTGGTTTGGTTCCAGATTTTCCGACATAGCCTCCAACAGCCGGAGGCGCAGGACCTTCATCAAGTCAGTGCCACCGTTCCTGCGGACCTATGGCTTCGATGGGCTGGACCTGGCCTGGCTCTACCCTGGGCGGAGAAACAAGCAGCATTTCACTGCTCTGGTCAAGGTGCTGGTGGGGGCGGAGGAAGTGGAAGGGTGGGGGGGCACCAGGGGGCGGGATGGGTAGCAGCCGTCTTGCGCTGATGTCCTCCTGAGGGCAGGCACAGAGGGGCTGGAACCTGGGCCGGAGCTGAGATGAATCGGCCTGTGCCCTGGGCTCTAACACGACATGGAAGGCATCCTGTGACCGCGGTGTGGGTGGGGTGGGGTCCTAAGGGCAGAGGGTCAGTAAGCAGAGCCCCCCTCATCACTGCCTACTTAGTGGAGCATCTTTGTCCACTGTTCAGCCCCACACTGACGCCACCCACCTCAGGGACAGTCCCTCGGGGGGCAGCCTAAGCATCTCCAGTTACCCCCAGGGCAGAGCAACCATCTAAACAAAGGGCCCGCAGCGCCATCCAAGCCCCTTTAACGTCGCTGTCTCGCGTGCCGGCCCCAGCGAAGAGGGACCAAAAGGCGAACTTCTTCCACCGCCACCTGTGGGTCACAGCCCCCCCGAGACAGGGAGGCACTGAGGGCTAATGGGTGCAGGGGGATGGGGACAAGTTCAGGAAAGGATGGACAGGGCCACTGCGGGCCACTTCGTCATCCCCACTGAGCCCCCGTCAGGGCGGGGTGACCGGGAAGGCCGGTGACGTGCTCAGAGCCCACACCCCTTCCCAGGCTCTGTCTCAGCGGCCAGGGCCTCTCTCACTCACCTGCCTCTCTCCTGACCAGGAAATGAAGGCTGAGTTTGCAAAGGAAGCCCAGGCGGGGGCAGAGCAGCTCCTGCTCAGTGCAGCGGTGTCTGCGGGGAAGGTTTTCATTGACAGTGGCTATGACATCGCCCAGATATCCAGGTGAGTCCCCTTCTCCCACTGCCTGCACACTGCATGGACTCAGAAGACCGGACCTCCAGTCCCAGTCCCCCCAAAAGCTTGATGGGTGGCCTTGAGCAAGCCCCTTCCCCTCTCTGTGCCTCAGTCTCCCCATCTGTCCAATGGGGCACCATAATCCCTGTCCTTTCCTTTTCCCCGTGGGTGTCATGCTGCCTGGTTGAGGTAGTTCCTATGATATGTTTGCAGAAAAGGCAATACAAACAGCCACCACACCAGCCGGCCACTGCTAGGCGTTTCCTCCGTGCCAGGCTAAGCAGAGTGCTTGAAACTAGAGACACAACACAACAACAATGATGCTTTTCAGCCCTAGACTTCGGGAGAGTCCTCAAGGTGTCTCCACACACAGGGGACCCCCTTTCCTGTTGGCCACTCCCCTCTCATCCTGCCCCTTTGTGTGTGTGAAAATGAGCAGTCCGCAGCTAAGCATCCTTCTTTACAGCCTTAGGAGGTGTAGATTCGATGCTTAAATTGACCATTTGGAGAGGGGAATGAAGTGGCTTCCAACCATTCGCCCCAAACACTGAAGCTCATATTCACGCAACCCACTGCAGCCCCATCCCCTGTGTGTGTGTGGACGCCTTCCTCCCACCCCGACGGATCGGAGGCTCAGGCCCTTCGTTGGTCCTGCTCTTTCCCCACAAGGCTACTTAGTGGAGCATCTTTGTCCACTGTTCAGCCCCACACTGACGCCACCCACCTCAGGGACAGTCCCTCTGGGGGCAGCCCAGTGTGTGTTAATGGCACTTTCAATCTGCCTTCACCAAGATGAACCAAATGAGAGTGGAGGGCAGCTCCCAAATGTGTTCTGGGGGCAAAACAGAACACCACTGTTGCCTCAAGTGCCCTGTGGTGCCCTGAGTGCACTCCCTGGTGCGGCACAGGGGAGATGGCCGGCAGCCAGGGCAGTGGACCACCGGCTCTCCCAGGGTTTGGGTTATTGGCCTGTCTTGGGGACGCCTGCCCGCCCTGCTTACATTCTGCTGGGGTGATGGACGTGATGTCCTGCCCCACCCTCTGACCTCTCTTCCGCAGACACCTGGACTTCATCAGCCTTTTGACCTATGACTTTCACGGAGCCTGGCGCCAGACCACAGGGCATCACAGCCCCCTGTTCCGAGGCCAGGATCATGGAAGTTCTGACAGATTCAGCAATACTGTGAGTGCCCAGAAGGAGGGAGGGCAGCTAGGAGAGCCACAAAGACCTACCACTTCCAGTGTTGGCTCACCAACCCCTCGCCTCCTCAGGAACAAGGGTTCCTGTGGGAACCGCTTCACCCGAGGCTTGGAGTCTGTGCATGCTCCAGGGCTCTGGGAACAGAGGTGGCTCTGAGTCCAGTCTAGACCTGCGTTTCACCTGCTGTGTAACCTGAGCCCATCACCTGATCTGGGCAAGCCTCCAAAAGCAATAACCCATTCCTGTAACTAAGAGGACTTTTCTGAGAATGCAACTGTAAAGTGGATTTTTAACTGACATTTCCAGTTCCTAGAGGAAGGAATTCCAGGCACATCTTCCAGGCAGGCAGGCTCATCAGGCAGCCACTAACTGCTCATCCTGTGCCCCCCGCCCCCGCAGGACTATGCCGTGAGCTATGTGTTGAGGCTTGGCGCCCCAGCCCATAAGCTGGTGATGGGCATCCCCACTTTTGGGAGAAGCTTCACTCTGGCCTCTTCTAATACGGGCATGGGGGCCCCGACCTCTGGGCCAGGACTAGCAGGCCGGTTCACCAAGGAGGAAGGGATCCTTGCGTACTATGAGGTACGTGTGCTGGGGAGAAGGGGAGATGCCCCTCTCCATCCACCAGCCCCTGGGAGGGAGCCTCCAGCCCACCCCAGCCCCTTTGCTCCTTTGGGAATACAAACAGTGCTCCAGTGGGCCTGGCGCCTCGAGGAGGAGGAAGGGCCTTTTGCTTCCAAGTCCCCTGTAGGCGCACCTAGTGTGCACACAAAGCTCCCAGACGCCTCTCTGGCCTCTGAGTGGAGGCCTTCCTTCTAGGCCAGGAAAGAGCAAGGGTCAGGACGCAGGCATTTCTGTCTCAGCCCGGCCTCTGCTGCTCTGTGCAGGGCCCCTGCCAGCCAGCACTTTCCCACATCCCTGTTTAAAATGCAGCCAGCAAGCCAGTCCCCGTGATGCCCTCAGGCGATAGCTGCCACCAGCCCTGGGATATTTGCATCTGTTTTACATAGATTTGCATGAAGCCTGCAGAATGAAGCAAGGACTGAAAGAGATTTGGGAGTGGCACCGCCCCTCCACACCCCCCACCCCTCTCCCTCCTCCCTGTGACCTGCAAGGCCTCAGCACAGCCCCCACACCACCCCTGCCCTGTTCTCTGCTCAGATCTGTGACTTCCTCCGCGGAGCCGCCGTCCATAGACTCCTTGGCCAAGAGGTCCCCTATGCCACCAAGGGCAACCAGTGGGTGGGGTATGATGACAAGGAGAGCATCAAAAGCAAGGTAGGTTCCCCAGGCAGTGCCCCAGGATGAAGAGGGAGAGGGAGCCCTGCCCTGAGGGCAGGCTTGGTTACAGGCATCCCAGGGCTGGGTACCTGCTGTCCCCTCCTCTGGTAGGAGCCCGTTCCCCCCGCACACCTGGACCAGGGCACCCAGCCCTGCTCCCCCTGTGTCTCCCCTGCCAGGTGCAGTACCTGAGAAGCAGGCAGCTGGCCGGTGCCATGGTGTGGGCCCTGGACTTGGATGACTTCCGGGGTACCTTCTGCGGCCAGAATCTGCGCTTCCCTCTCACTGGGGCCATCAAGGATGCACTCGCTGCGGCTTAGCCCTCTGTCCTGACACCGTGTGGCAGAGATGCCCCTCACCCCTTGGCTCCAGCTGGCCAGGAGCCTGATCACCCACCCTACTGAGACCCCTGGAGAGCCTCAGTCCCCTCACTGGGAGCCCGAGCTGGGGGCCTGTGCTCTGAGCTCAGCACTGGTGGCCAGGTGGGTAGGGTGGGCCTGGGGGCAGTTAGGGCCTGGTGACCAGCACAATGAAAAACAAGGTTGGCACATACCTGTTGGTTCATGAAAATACTCAACAACCCCAGGCCCCACACGTGGGGATTTCTTCAAACCTTTTAAGGCCCGGCCTCCTGGCCAAAGGCCACCCTTCTGCCAAGTACTCAAATATCTTACAGGAAACAGCAGCCACACTAATTGTGCCCTTTGCAAAGCCCAACTTGAAACCACCCCCCTGGGGCCTCATCATGTCTCCCATCCTGCTTCCCTTTCCTAAATCCCCAGCTGCTCAATAAAGCACCCGAGCTTAACAGTCGGTCTTAATCAGTCCACCTGCGTCGCCGCCGACACACCGGCTCTGTTCCCCCAGCTCTGCCGGGGTCCTCTAGCCATGGGATCCCTAAGCTTTGTGGAAGGTGAGGCCCCTTGGCCTCTACCGGGCCCCAAGGAATCCCAAAAGGAGGCCCGCGGCCTCAGATGCATGTGCCCTGGGCTGAACTCAAGAGGGCCGATGGCCTCCCAGACGCTAGTCACAGCAGCCCAGACGGCTTGATGCGGTTCACTGGTGGAAGAAGGCTTTTCTGCTTCCCAGAGGTGAGCAGGCGCTGGGCAGGAGGTCCCTCAGTCCCACCCCTCCATCTCTTCTGACCCCCCCAGTGGGTGTCGGGAGCCCTGACCCTGGGCGCTCAGCGCTAGGAGACATCAATGATCTTGGCGCCTTCCCAGGCAGGAGCACTTGAGAGATGGTCTCCCAGGTTCCCGCTACCCGCCGGCTGGTGCCCTGTCCACTGTGGGCGGGCCTCTGTCAGACACCCGAGGGCGGCAGCTCGGCCCTCTGCCCTCTGGACATCCTCAGCCCTCTGCCCACACAGAGATGAGGGCTTCTCTGCTCAGGACAGCCTGGGCCATAGAGTGGGCGGTGGACAGGACAGGATGGGTGGGACGAGATGGGCTCAGAAGGACAGGTGGCTGCCGTCCGGTCTCTCTGAGGTAGAGAGGCCCTCACAGCTCTCTGTGAATTCCCAGGGCCCCAGACAGGACAACTTGCATCTAAGGAGAGTCCAGATGTACCTCCAACACCAAAGAGAATGTTTTTGTGAATTCCCCTATGTTCGGATTATCTGTGACTTGGTCCGCTCGTTTGTGACATTGGTTTGAGGTGTCAGGAAGGAAATACCTATTGGCCGCCCTGAAATTGAACCAGCTGGAGCTGGGCAGATGCTCCTGATCCCAAGGTCACAGCCCTGTGAAGGGCAAAGGAAGTGAGAACTCAGCCAGAGCGTCGGGGGGACCTGTCATTTCTCCACTGGCCAGAGGGGCCAAGCATTCCCTAATCCGTGCCTACTGCCCACCCCACCACGCAAGGATCCTTGAAACCCCGGGGCTGGAAGCCCTCTGGGGCAGCCACCCCCTGCTCCCCTATCCCAGGACAGGCCTCCCCGGCTGACTCAGGGTCCTGTGGAGTTAGTCACATTCACTTATAGCTGCAGAGTCAGAGGCCAGGGATGGGATCGGGTCTCCAAGGCCCTCCCCTGCCTGGCAGGACACTGAGTCACCTGGCAGAGAGCACGGCACCCAGGAAGGGCTGGACCCCACGGCTCCCAAGGCCCTCCACTGCCACTCCGCAGCAGGGACAGGCAGCAGGGAGAGGCAGCCACGCTCTCGTGCCCCCCAGGGGAAAGCGGAGAGTGTGCATTCAGCTCAGGGCCTCTAAGTGAACTCCATGGGCATTTATTTTTAAATTGTGGGATATATCATACATGCTACAGAGTGCATTAGATGCTTTTTTTTTAATTTAAAGAATCACTATGTGGTGAACCTGTGTAACCACAGCCAGAACAGGAAGTGAGATCTCATTAGTGGGCCTAAAACTCCACTAGCACCTACCCCCTGCCCTCCACCTGGAGGTAACCCCTGTCCTGTCCTTCTCTGCTCTCCTTGTGGCCTCACCGCCTAAAGATGCGCCTTGTGGAAGAGAGCCTGGTGTCACCGCCATCTGCATTTAATGTAGGTGGGCCCCCCCTGGCTTGGTGCCCTGCTCGCCACTGTACCTGTCTGGTCACCCAGGGGGCTGACGTGCGCTGTCTCAGTGCACATTCTGGTTTACAGGCTCACGTGTGCTCTGAGGTCACTGGTGCAGGCCACAGTAGTGGGGCAGCTGCTTTCTCCAGGTTCGGGCTCTAGCAAACTCTGCCCAGATGTTTGCCCGCACATCTCCCAGACCACGTGTGTGAAAGCCGCCGGGCCTATAACTGCTTGGTCCTAGAGTCGCACGTTTGCCATTTTACTAGATCCTCTGTCACTTTTTCCAAAGGGATTTCTTCCCAGCAAGGTCACGATCCCTCCAGCAGTGAGCATTCCTGCTGAGCCCTCTCCTCCTGACGCACGGTGTTTACTGCTTGTTCAGTCATCACCGATTATTATCAGTCCCCTGTTGGAAGGCCTTCTACCCACCCACCTCACCTTGGGCATCCCAGGTCCCTCTTCTCCAGGACCCTCAGCCTCATGCAGCATGAGGAAGAAGCCCCAGAGATGTGGGACTCCGGGGGCAGAGATGGGCATGCTCCCCAGGAAGGCTGTTCTGGGCCCCAGAACCCAGGCTGAGAAGCGCTGGCCACAAGTGGCCCCTCGGAGGCAAGCGCACAGCCTGACCCAGGTTTGCTCTCCAAACAGAAGCTCTTGTTCCCGCTGCCCTGAGCCCGGGCACTGGCTCCCGGTGCTGTCCTATCTCACCCATCTGTACCCTCCTCCCATCTGGGCACCAGCGCCCTGGCTGCTGAGATCCAATCAGGGGGCACGTGCTCTTTAGGGGACCCTTGTAGTCCCTCCGCCAGAGCTATTCCTGGCCTAGGCACCTCCCCACCCCCAGATCCCAGAGCCTGACCTGACCTCACAGCTGGGAATCACTTGGCGGGGGGCGGGCCAGCCCCTGACTATATAAGCTTGGACCGAGATGTCCCAGGCACCCTGGAGACCCAGACCTCCCTCCCAGCCCCTGCAAAGTCCAGCCCGGCACCCCCAGCAGGCCAGCGATGACAGGAAAATCCACCCCGGAGGCCCCCCCATGTGGTCCAGAGGAGTCTGCCTCTGCGTCTGCCAAGGTGCCCACCGCAGAGCCCTCTGGAGGAGCGGCAGCATCGGGGTCTACAGGGGAGGAGCAGGTGCCCACGCCTCAGGGGCCTGCCCCCCAGGTCCCTGCACCCCCCACAGCCCCCGCAGCCTCTAAACCTGCACCTTCCAACGCAGGTGACAGAGACGGGCAGGGGGGAGGGAGGGGCATGGCAGGGAGCGGGGAGGTCTTGCCCGAACCCCCTCATCTCCCCTGCTTCTCTCTCAGACCTCCCTGGTGCCCCCCTGCTGCTGGCCGTGGAGGATGTGAGCGACAGCTCGGTGACTGTGAGCTGGGAGCCCCCCGAGACGCTAGGGAGGCTGGGGCTCCAGGGCTATGTGCTGGAGCTCCGCCGAGAGGGAGGTGAGCCCCCCTCATCACTGCCTACTTAGTGGAGCATCTTTGTCCACTGTTCAGCCCCACACTGACGCCACCCACCTCAGGGACAGTCCCTCGGGGGGCAGCCTAAGCATCTCCAGTTACCCCCAGGGCAGAGCAACCATCTAAACAAAGGGCCCGCAGCGCCATCCAAGCCCCTTTAACGTCGCTGTCTCACGTGCCGGCCCCGACAAAGAGGGACCAAAAGGCGAACTTCTTCCACCGCCACCTGTGGGTCACAGCCCCCCCGAGACAGGGAGGCACTGAGGGCTAATGGGTGCAGGGGGATGGGGACAAGTTCAGGAAAGGATGGACAGGGCCACTGCGGGCCACTTCGTCATCCCCACTGAGCCCCCGTCAGGGCGGGGTGACCGGGAAGGCCGGTGACGTGCTCAGAGCCCACACCCCTTCCCAGGCTCTGTCTCAGCGGCCAGGGCCTCTCTCACTCACCTGCCTCTCTCCTGACCAGGAAATGAAGGCTGAGTTTGCAAAGGAAGCCCAGGCGGGGGCAGAGCAGCTCCTGCTCAGTGCAGCGGTGTCTGCGGGGAAGGTTTTCATTGACAGTGGCTATGACATCGCCCAGATATCCAGGTGAGTCCCCTTCTCCCACTGCCTGCACACTGCATGGACTCAGAAGACCGGACCTCCAGTCCCAGTCCCCCCAAAAGCTTGATGGGTGGCCTTGAGCAAGCCCCTTCCCCTCTCTGTGCCTCAGTCTCCCCATCTGTCCAATGGGGCACCATAATCCCTGTCCTTTCCTTTTCCCCGTGGGTGTCATGCTGCCTGGTTGAGGTAGTTCCTATGATATGTTTGCAGAAAAGGCAATACAAACAGCCACCACACCAGCCGGCCACTGCTAGGCGTTTCCTCCGTGCCAGGCTAAGCAGAGTGCTTGAAACTAGAGACACAACACAACAACAATGATGCTTTTCAGCCCTAGACTTCGGGAGAGTCCTCAAGGTGTCTCCACACACAGGGGACCCCCTTTCCTGTTGGCCACTCCCCTCTCATCCTGCCCCTTTGTGTGTGTGAAAATGAGCAGTCCGCAGCTAAGCATCCTTCTTTACAGCCTTAGGAGGTGTAGATTCGATGCTTAAATTGACCATTTGGAGAGGGGAATGAAGTGGCTTCCAACCATTCGCCCCAAACACTGAAGCTCATATTCACGCAACCCACTGCAGCCCCATCCCCTGTGTGTGTGTGGACGCCTTCCTCCCACCCCGACGGATCGGAGGCTCAGGCCCTTCGTTGGTCCTGCTCTTTCCCCACAAGGCTACTTAGTGGAGCATCTTTGTCCACTGTTCAGCCCCACACTGACGCCACCCACCTCAGGGACAGTCCCTCTGGGGGCAGCCCAGTGTGTGTTAATGGCACTTTCAATCTGCCTTCACCAAGATGAACCAAATGAGAGTGGAGGGCAGCTCCCAAATGTGTTCTGGGGGCAAAACAGAACACCACTGTTGCCTCAAGTGCCCTGTGGTGCCCTGAGTGCACTCCCTGGTGCGGCACAGGGGAGATGGCCGGCAGCCAGGGCAGTGGACCACCGGCTCTCCCAGGGTTTGGGTTATTGGCCTGTCTTGGGGACGCCTGCCCGCCCTGCTTACATTCTGCTGGGGTGATGGACGTGATGTCCTGCCCCACCCTCTGACCTCTCTTCCGCAGACACCTGGACTTCATCAGCCTTTTGACCTATGACTTTCACGGAGCCTGGCGCCAGACCACAGGGCATCACAGCCCCCTGTTCCGAGGCCAGGATCATGGAAGTTCTGACAGATTCAGCAATACTGTGAGTGCCCAGAAGGAGGGAGGGCAGCTAGGAGAGCCACAAAGACCTACCACTTCCAGTGTTGGCTCACCAACCCCTCGCCTCCTCAGGAACAAGGGTTCCTGTGGGAACCGCTTCACCCGAGGCTTGGAGTCTGTGCATGCTCCAGGGCTCTGGGAACAGAGGTGGCTCTGAGTCCAGTCTAGACCTGCGTTTCACCTGCTGTGTAACCTGAGCCCATCACCTGATCTGGGCAAGCCTCCAAAAGCAATAACCCATTCCTGTAACTAAGAGGACTTTTCTGAGAATGCAACTGTAAAGTGGATTTTTAACTGACATTTCCAGTTCCTAGAGGAAGGAATTCCAGGCACATCTTCCAGGCAGGCAGGCTCATCAGGCAGCCACTAACTGCTCATCCTGTGCCCCCCGCCCCCGCAGGACTATGCCGTGAGCTATGTGTTGAGGCTTGGCGCCCCAGCCCATAAGCTGGTGATGGGCATCCCCACTTTTGGGAGAAGCTTCACTCTGGCCTCTTCTAATACGGGCATGGGGGCCCCGACCTCTGGGCCAGGACTAGCAGGCCGGTTCACCAAGGAGGAAGGGATCCTTGCGTACTATGAGGTACGTGTGCTGGGGAGAAGGGGAGATGCCCCTCTCCATCCACCAGCCCCTGGGAGGGAGCCTCCAGCCCACCCCAGCCCCTTTGCTCCTTTGGGAATACAAACAGTGCTCCAGTGGGCCTGGCGCCTCGAGGAGGAGGAAGGGCCTTTTGCTTCCAAGTCCCCTGTAGGCGCACCTAGTGTGCACACAAAGCTCCCAGACGCCTCTCTGGCCTCTGAGTGGAGGCCTTCCTTCTAGGCCAGGAAAGAGCAAGGGTCAGGACGCAGGCATTTCTGTCTCAGCCCGGCCTCTGCTGCTCTGTGCAGGGCCCCTGCCAGCCAGCACTTTCCCACATCCCTGTTTAAAATGCAGCCAGCAAGCCAGTCCCCGTGATGCCCTCAGGCGATAGCTGCCACCAGCCCTGGGATATTTGCATCTGTTTTACATAGATTTGCATGAAGCCTGCAGAATGAAGCAAGGACTGAAAGAGATTTGGGAGTGGCACCGCCCCTCCACACCCCCCACCCCTCTCCCTCCTCCCTGTGACCTGCAAGGCCTCAGCACAGCCCCCACACCACCCCTGCCCTGTTCTCTGCTCAGATCTGTGACTTCCTCCGCGGAGCCGCCGTCCATAGACTCCTTGGCCAAGAGGTCCCCTATGCCACCAAGGGCAACCAGTGGGTGGGGTATGATGACAAGGAGAGCATCAAAAGCAAGGTAGGTTCCCCAGGCAGTGCCCCAGGATGAAGAGGGAGAGGGAGCCCTGCCCTGAGGGCAGGCTTGGTTACAGGCATCCCAGGGCTGGGTACCTGCTGTCCCCTCCTCTGGTAGGAGCCCGTTCCCCCCGCACACCTGGACCAGGGCACCCAGCCCTGCTCCCCCTGTGTCTCCCCTGCCAGGTGCAGTACCTGAGAAGCAGGCAGCTGGCCGGTGCCATGGTGTGGGCCCTGGACTTGGATGACTTCCGGGGTACCTTCTGCGGCCAGAATCTGCGCTTCCCTCTCACTGGGGCCATCAAGGATGCACTCGCTGCGGCTTAGCCCTCTGTCCTGACACCGTGTGGCAGAGATGCCCCTCACCCCTTGGCTCCAGCTGGCCAGGAGCCTGATCACCCACCCTACTGAGACCCCTGGAGAGCCTCAGTCCCCTCACTGGGAGCCCGAGCTGGGGGCCTGTGCTCTGAGCTCAGCACTGGTGGCCAGGTGGGTAGGGTGGGCCTGGGGGCAGTTAGGGCCTGGTGACCAGCACAATGAAAAACAAGGTTGGCACATACCTGTTGGTTCATGAAAATACTCAACAACCCCAGGCCCCACACGTGGGGATTTCTTCAAACCTTTTAAGGCCCGGCCTCCTGGCCAAAGGCCACCCTTCTGCCAAGTACTCAAATATCTTACAGGAAACAGCAGCCACACTAATTGTGCCCTTTGCAAAGCCCAACTTGAAACCACCCCCCTGGGGCCTCATCATGTCTCCCATCCTGCTTCCCTTTCCTAAATCCCCAGCTGCTCAATAAAGCACCCGAGCTTAACAGTCGGTCTTAATCAGTCCACCTGCGTCGCCGCCGACACACCGGCTCTGTTCCCCCAGCTCTGCCGGGGTCCTCTAGCCATGGGATCCCTAAGCTTTGTGGAAGGTGAGGCCCCTTGGCCTCTACCGGGCCCCAAGGAATCCCAAAAGGAGGCCCGCGGCCTCAGATGCATGTGCCCTGGGCTGAACTCAAGAGGGCCGATGGCCTCCCAGACGCTAGTCACAGCAGCCCAGACGGCTTGATGCGGTTCACTGGTGGAAGAAGGCTTTTCTGCTTCCCAGAGGTGAGCAGGCGCTGGGCAGGAGGTCCCTCAGTCCCACCCCTCCATCTCTTCTGACCCCCCCAGTGGGTGTCGGGAGCCCTGACCCTGGGCGCTCAGCGCTAGGAGACATCAATGATCTTGGCGCCTTCCCAGGCAGGAGCACTTGAGAGATGGTCTCCCAGGTTCCCGCTACCCGCCGGCTGGTGCCCTGTCCACTGTGGGCGGGCCTCTGTCAGACACCCGAGGGCGGCAGCTCGGCCCTCTGCCCTCTGGACATCCTCAGCCCTCTGCCCACACAGAGATGAGGGCTTCTCTGCTCAGGACAGCCTGGGCCATAGAGTGGGCGGTGGACAGGACAGGATGGGTGGGACGAGATGGGCTCAGAAGGACAGGTGGCTGCCGTCCGGTCTCTCTGAGGTAGAGAGGCCCTCACAGCTCTCTGTGAATTCCCAGGGCCCCAGACAGGACAACTTGCATCTAAGGAGAGTCCAGATGTACCTCCAACACCAAAGAGAATGTTTTTGTGAATTCCCCTATGTTCGGATTATCTGTGACTTGGTCCGCTCGTTTGTGACATTGGTTTGAGGTGTCAGGAAGGAAATACCTATTGGCCGCCCTGAAATTGAACCAGCTGGAGCTGGGCAGATGCTCCTGATCCCAAGGTCACAGCCCTGTGAAGGGCAAAGGAAGTGAGAACTCAGCCAGAGCGTCGGGGGGACCTGTCATTTCTCCACTGGCCAGAGGGGCCAAGCATTCCCTAATCCGTGCCTACTGCCCACCCCACCACGCAAGGATCCTTGAAACCCCGGGGCTGGAAGCCCTCTGGGGCAGCCACCCCCTGCTCCCCTATCCCAGGACAGGCCTCCCCGGCTGACTCAGGGTCCTGTGGAGTTAGTCACATTCACTTATAGCTGCAGAGTCAGAGGCCAGGGATGGGATCGGGTCTCCAAGGCCCTCCCCTGCCTGGCAGGACACTGAGTCACCTGGCAGAGAGCACGGCACCCAGGAAGGGCTGGACCCCACGGCTCCCAAGGCCCTCCACTGCCACTCCGCAGCAGGGACAGGCAGCAGGGAGAGGCAGCCACGCTCTCGTGCCCCCCAGGGGAAAGCGGAGAGTGTGCATTCAGCTCAGGGCCTCTAAGTGAACTCCATGGGCATTTATTTTTAAATTGTGGGATATATCATACATGCTACAGAGTGCATTAGATGCTTTTTTTTTAATTTAAAGAATCACTATGTGGTGAACCTGTGTAACCACAGCCAGAACAGGAAGTGAGATCTCATTAGTGGGCCTAAAACTCCACTAGCACCTACCCCCTGCCCTCCACCTGGAGGTAACCCCTGTCCTGTCCTTCTCTGCTCTCCTTGTGGCCTCACCGCCTAAAGATGCGCCTTGTGGAAGAGAGCCTGGTGTCACCGCCATCTGCATTTAATGTAGGTGGGCCCCCCCTGGCTTGGTGCCCTGCTCGCCACTGTACCTGTCTGGTCACCCAGGGGGCTGACGTGCGCTGTCTCAGTGCACATTCTGGTTTACAGGCTCACGTGTGCTCTGAGGTCACTGGTGCAGGCCACAGTAGTGGGGCAGCTGCTTTCTCCAGGTTCGGGCTCTAGCAAACTCTGCCCAGATGTTTGCCCGCACATCTCCCAGACCACGTGTGTGAAAGCCGCCGGGCCTATAACTGCTTGGTCCTAGAGTCGCACGTTTGCCATTTTACTAGATCCTCTGTCACTTTTTCCAAAGGGATTTCTTCCCAGCAAGGTCACGATCCCTCCAGCAGTGAGCATTCCTGCTGAGCCCTCTCCTCCTGACGCACGGTGTTTACTGCTTGTTCAGTCATCACCGATTATTATCAGTCCCCTGTTGGAAGGCCTTCTACCCACCCACCTCACCTTGGGCATCCCAGGTCCCTCTTCTCCAGGACCCTCAGCCTCATGCAGCATGAGGAAGAAGCCCCAGAGATGTGGGACTCCGGGGGCAGAGATGGGCATGCTCCCCAGGAAGGCTGTTCTGGGCCCCAGAACCCAGGCTGAGAAGCGCTGGCCACAAGTGGCCCCTCGGAGGCAAGCGCACAGCCTGACCCAGGTTTGCTCTCCAAACAGAAGCTCTTGTTCCCGCTGCCCTGAGCCCGGGCACTGGCTCCCGGTGCTGTCCTATCTCACCCATCTGTACCCTCCTCCCATCTGGGCACCAGCGCCCTGGCTGCTGAGATCCAATCAGGGGGCACGTGCTCTTTAGGGGACCCTTGTAGTCCCTCCGCCAGAGCTATTCCTGGCCTAGGCACCTCCCCACCCCCAGATCCCAGAGCCTGACCTGACCTCACAGCTGGGAATCACTTGGCGGGGGGCGGGCCAGCCCCTGACTATATAAGCTTGGACCGAGATGTCCCAGGCACCCTGGAGACCCAGACCTCCCTCCCAGCCCCTGCAAAGTCCAGCCCGGCACCCCCAGCAGGCCAGCGATGACAGGAAAATCCACCCCGGAGGCCCCCCCATGTGGTCCAGAGGAGTCTGCCTCTGCGTCTGCCAAGGTGCCCACCGCAGAGCCCTCTGGAGGAGCGGCAGCATCGGGGTCTACAGGGGAGGAGCAGGTGCCCACGCCTCAGGGGCCTGCCCCCCAGGTCCCTGCACCCCCCACAGCCCCCGCAGCCTCTAAACCTGCACCTTCCAACGCAGGTGACAGAGACGGGCAGGGGGGAGGGAGGGGCACGGCAGGGAGCGGGGAGGTCTTGCCCGAACCCCCTCATCTCCCCTGCTTCTCTCTCAGACCTCCCTGGTGCCCCCCTGCTGCTGGCCGTGGAGGATGTGAGCGACAGCTCGGTGACTGTGAGCTGGGAGCCCCCCGAGACGCTAGGGAGGCTGGGGCTCCAGGGCTATGTGCTGGAGCTCCGCCGAGAGGGAGGTGAGCTCTGGGCAAAGCCCTGCTGCCCCCAGGGGAGGTGGGTTGGGGGTCCCAGACCCCGAAGTTGGGCCAGTCTAGAGGGAGGGAGAGCGAGGGGTTCCGTCAGCCCCTCGCCTACTGCTCCACCGCTGAAGGCAGGGGCATATCCGGATGACCTCAGGGGGCCCCTTGTCCTTGGAGTAACAGGCATGCAAGGGCAGGGGGCCCTGGGGTACTGCCTGACAGGAAACAAAGGAAGTGCCCAGAGTCAGAGGACCCTGCTCAGAGCAGGAGGTGGGGAGCACAGAGTCTGAGCAGGGGGGTAAGGTAAAAGACAGTGAGGAGAAATAAGGGCAGGACACTCTGGCCATATCCCTGTTGCCACTGTCCTACTGTCCACCTCCACAGCAACTGAGTTCAGCGTGGCTTCTGCTTTTGCCCCGGCCTTGCTGTGTGACTTGGCAAATGTGTCCAACCCTCTCTGGGCTTCAGCAGCACCATCTCTGGCACTATTCCAGAGCTCTAACATCAGGTGTCTTTCATGCAGTTTGACAAGGAGAAGAGTCAGAGAAAGAGAATAAAGGCAAAATTAGGCCCAAAAAAGGAGGTCAACTCCCCCAGATCACCACTGAGAAGAGCAGGGCACCCATGGCCACTGCGCTCTCTCCATGTCCCCAGCCTCAGAGTGGGTGCCCGTGAATGCCCGGCCCGTGATGGTGACCCAGCAGACCTTGCGGAACCTGGCTCTAGGGGACAAGTTCCTCCTGCGTGTGGCTGCAGTGAGCTCGGCGGGGGCTGGCCCGGCGGTTGTGCTGGACCAGCCTGTCCACATCCAGAAGATCGTAGGTAAAGGCCCACCCTTGTGCCTCCTGTTCCCCAGCCCTTCCCAGGCACCTCTTCTGATGGACGGAGGGACTAAGGCCAAAGGGCAGAGGGAACAGGGCATTTGCTTCCTCCATCCCACCCTCACGCACACGAGCCACATGCTATTGCCATCTTGCCTTAAGAAAGTTCCAGGTTCCTCAGCAGCAAGGGACCGCTTCAGGGTACAGAGGCCACTTCCCTGAGTGCCCCAGCCCCCGAGCACTGGGGGAAGGGCTTCCTGGCCCCAGAAATGAAAACTCGAGCTCCCCAGGGCACCTGCCTTTGGGTCACTGTCCTGGAGTATGCCACTCCATTCCTCTTCCTACAGAATCGCAATCCCTCCAGCAGCCATGGAAGCTCATTTTCTGTGCATTTCATATGGCCTGGATTTCAATTCTCCCAAAGGTTTTAGAACAGAGAGAAGTCTTTGCTTGCCTTCTTGTTCCACCATGTTTCTAATGGAAGATGAGGGCCTGCAAAAGGCCCATGAAAAGAAACCATGCAGGTTTCTCCATCCCCAGAGGTAGTGCCATGCAGGAGATCTGGGAGGCCAGCTGCTATCCCCTCACTAAGACTTCTATTTGCAGGGTGCATTAGCCTCAAGCCTACCCTCGCTCCCCTCCCAGAGCCTATCGGGTTTCACTCTGTTAATGGCAGTGAGTCATTTGGTCTAATCTGAGGTCTTTGGGGACAGCCCAGGGCCCCAGGGTGAAGAGAGATACAGGCCAGCAGGTGGCCTGGGGCCTTGTCCACCTTCCCCTGATTAGACTCCACAGTTCTGGACAAGGCCTCCAGAAAGAGGGGGTTTCATGGTCACAGGAGGGGTTGAGTCTGGATTGAAGAAAATAATTCTCAACTCAAAGTCCTGAGCGGTGTGGGAATCATGGGGCTAGGAAGCTTAGAATAGTAGACGGTCATAGCTGGTCAGTCAGAACCAAGCAGGTCCCAAGGTGCCCAGGGACGCCCTTGAGGACACCCAGCGTATCAGCAGCAGCCCCAGAGCCTGACCCCTACACAAGGCCGTCCATGTCCCATCAGGCGGCAGGGAGTCGTCTCTAGTGTTCAAAACCCAAGGCCATTCTCGTCCTCTGCGTCTGGCTGACACACGGCCCTGCCTGACAACCGCATGTGGGACACCCTGACTCTAGCTTGGAGGTGCCAGGAAGACTTCCTGATTGGGAGGGTTCTGGGCCTTTCCTGGGGGGACCCAGGACGGCTCACACTCTGAGAGGCTGCAGGGACCGGGGCCCTCTCCTCCAAGGCCCCATATCAAAGGAGCCGGCCAGCCTCAGCACCCACCACTCTTAAAATTCCTCTGGCACGAGAGAAGGGGATTTCCTGGAGAGAAGAGGGGAGGAGGCTGTGACCAAACAGGCGCCAGCCAGGTCCTCCTCGTGGGCAGGATCCTCAGCTGCTCAGCTGGCCCTGCTCGACCACCTGGAGCTGCCAAGCATTCCTGGCCTGGCCCCCTGCAGCTGCCCCTGGGCATGGCACTCCTGCTCCCAGAGCCGAGGGCCCGCACAGCTAATCCTCGGAGACACAGTGTCCTTCTCACTGCCGCCTGCCCTCCGCCCTGGGTGTCGTGGACCAACTGCTGCCACCTGTTTGCTGCTGAGGAGCCTCGGCTGCTGCTTCTGCCCCTGCCCAGGGGGACAATGGCAGAGGCTGTGGTAGCTCCCCTAGGGATGCTCAACGGCTTCAGTGGCTGCACCGAGTAGGTGGTGGTCGGGAAGGTGGTTCCCTAGCATGTAAGACTTCAGGAAGGACTTCCAACTGTAAGACCAAAAGGGAGTGGGAAGGGGGGACAGAAAGCAAGGGGTATGTCCTGGCCTCATTTAGGAAGGGCAAGACTCTGATCCTCCCATGTGGCCTGGAGACAAAGCAATGGGCAAATGGGTCTCATGGGGGCTTCTCTGAAGGTCCTGGACTGGTGAGGGGCAGAGGGTGCTGGGTGAGAGGAAGACTGGCACTGCCATCATCATGGGACTGCGGGCCGACAGGTGCAGCACCTGCTCCCCACTAGGGGGAGCCAGAGAGCCAGCCAGGCCCATCTGGAGCCCAGGAATGCCTGGGCTACAGGGCAAATCCTGGCTTGGCAGGGTCAGGCGTCAAGAGAGCGCTTGGTATGCTAACTGGTTCACCCCGTGGAGGCCTTGCCCCCTGGAGCCTCCCAGCTCCCAACTCCCCAAGGGCCTGAAGGAATTTGGGCCCCTGGATCTCCAAGTGTCACCATTTCCCCCAGGAGGCAGCCCCACAACACACCCAGCCACCCTCCTGCCCAACCAGCAGCCCTCACCAGCTGTCCCCTACCCATGCCGCAGAAACGCCCAGCCAGAAACCCCACTGCCTGTGCTAAACCTAGACTCTCGCTTTTATGCAGAGGCCCCCAAAATCCGGGTCCCCCGCCACCTCCGTCAGACATATATCCGCCAAGTGGGAGAGACAGTCAACCTGCAAATCCCCTTCCAGGTAAGCACGCCTCCTGCCCAGAATAAGAACCTGGGTGGAAACCCGGGCCCTCGCTGAGGTGTGTCAGAGGAGCCCAGGAAATGTCAGAAGCCATGTGCGGGGCTCTGCCTGGGACCCAGCGAGAGGGCCCCAGCCTTCCTCTGTCCTGCACTTGGTGAGCTGCGATTCTCCAGCCTGAGGGTGGGGCAGGTGGTCCCAAGGCTGGCTGGAGAGTTGGGAGAATGAGGCTCTGGACAGCACCTGTGGCTCCAGCCTCTGCTGCCCCTCCTGGGGACAACTGATGGGGCCAACTCCAGAGGTCCCCGGAGTTGAGATGGGAGGGGTGCTGGCACCTCCTGCAGCCACCCTGAGGGCTCCTCCCTCCCAGGGGAATCCGAAGCCTAAGGCCTCGTGGACCCACAATGGCCACTCCCTGGACACCCAGCGGGTGAGCGTGCGCACGGGGGCCCAGGACTCCATCCTGTTCATTCGCTCGGCCCAGCGCTCCGACTCAGGCTGCTATGAGCTCACCATGCAGCTGGAAGGCCTGGAAGCCAAGGCAGCCATCAACATCCTGGTGATTGGTACGGGCCAGGGAGGGTGGGGCTGCCTTGCTGGCCTCCCCGAGAACCCACCTTCTACCTGAGAGCTGGCAGCTGATGGGGTCAGGCCAGGGCAGCATGCAAGGAGCCAGGTCCTGGGCGGGGCCACTCGCAGCAAGCCCAGCCCCCTCACTGCCCCCATACTTCGGTCCTGCAGAGAAACCTGGAGCCCCCAGCAGCCTCAGGCTACTGGACGTCTGGGGCTGCAACGCTGCCCTTGAGTGGACACCGCCCCAGGACACAGGCAACACAGAGCTCCTGGGCTACACTGTGCAGAAAGCAGACAAGAAGACAGGGGTGAGGCCTGCTGGAGCAGGGTGGGGCTGAGGAGGACATGGCCGAGGTGGCCGGGAAGGCCCAGCCCACTAAGAACCCGGCAACCAAGTTCTAGTCTAACTACCACTAACCTGACTCTCTGTGTGACTTTGGGCAAGATTCCTTTCATCTCTGGGCCTCGGTTTCCTCCTGAAGACTGCAAGGGGGGCTCTCTGAGGCCCGTCAAGCTCTAGAGCAGTGTTTCTGGAAATGCGACTACATACGAATCACCTGGGAGTCTTGCTAAAAATGCAGATTTTAATTGTGTTGGTCTGGGGCCGGGGCTGAAATCCTGTACTTCTAAGAAGCTCCCAGGTGATTCTCTGGCCAGACTTTGAGTTGAAAGTCTCTAGAATTCTCTGAGGTCCCCAGAGAGGTCACTCGAGTGCCCCAGGAGCACCTTCTCCTAATACAAAGTCCCCCAGGCCCCAAGCTGGATGGTGCAGCCCCCCGGGGCAGGGAGGGGGCACAGCCCTCTGAGGGCGGGGCTGCAGGCTGAGCCAGGAGGGTGAGGGCAGAGGTGACAGGTGAGGGTGACAGGGCTGGGTCCCTGCAGCAATGGTTCACGGTGCTGGAACGCTACCACCCGACCTCCTGCATCATCTCCGACCTCATCGGGGGAAACTCCTACTCCTTCCGGGTCTTCTCGGAGAACCTGTGCGGCCTCAGTGCCTCAGCCGCCTCCACCAAGGAGCTCGCTCACATCCAGAAGGCAGGTGGGTCTAGGCTGGGGACCGGACCCCTCTCCATCTCCGCCTTCTCTCTGGTGTCTCAGTACCCCTCCCTGGGGGCTTCTCAGGGCTGCCCGCCCGCTGGATACTACCTCTCCACGCCCACTCCATAGCTCTGTGCACGCGCACACACACGCACGCACACACACGCACACACACGCACACACACAGAGCCACTGTAGAGAGATGGATGTGGTTGACAGCAGAGCAAACACATGCAACAAGAGGTGCCCCTTGGGACGCCGTGTACTTATTCTGAAGATGCTTATGTGACTGCCACCATCCCAGCAGTGGTGGGGCTCATGTGCAGTGTCCCGGGGGAGCTGCTCTGGAGGGCAGTATGCCCGGATAGGTGGACCCTGGTGAGCTGCCTAAAAGCACAAACCTCCCAACCCACATATAACACCACATAGATGGACGAGAGAGATATGGGCATTTATGTCTCCTCGCAGCGCCTGACCCTCTTGCGTCAAACGTGACATTCAAGCCCTTTCTCCGTGTCACCCTGCGTGCTCCAAGGCCTTCCCCCACAGGACTGTGTGGGCTCCGGAAGGCACACTCTTTTTAACATCAGCCTGAGCTGCACAGAATTAGGAAGACATTTTTGTTCAAAAAGGAAAGCCAGTCAGGTTGCCGGTCTGCACCCCTAGCCAGGATCATCCCATCTGTCTGGTTGTCCTGCCCACCCCTCTCTCTGCTCCCCTCCCTGGCCCACCCGGGCATGGGTGCAGCTTTCCTCTGCCTCTCTGAGACATTCTGTCCCTAAGTCGGGGCACATTGGCATTGCCTGGCTTCCCCCAGATCCCAGAAGCCTGGGGTCCTGCCACGGAGCTCCAGAAGAGGGGCAGGGGCAAAACGGATTGTTTCCTGCATTAAGAACTTCCTGCAGGCCACCAGCTCACCTCCCAGAGTGGTGTCCAAGCCACAGTGCGACCTGCCACCCCTTCAGTCCCAAACTCACAAAGTGATATTGGGCAGGTCACTCATCCACAAAAGGCCTTCGTCTCCCATCTCTCAAATGGGGACAAACCTACCCTGGCAGAAGAATGCTGTGTGGATTAACTAATACACTGAGATGTAAGCTTTAGTGATCATTTTAGGAAAATGAATGAGGTTATCCTATGAGGTCTGTTCCTGTAACTGTAAATCGGCCCCATTCTCCCCTGAACCCAGGTAATGTTGCCAAACCTAAAGGGTTTGTGGAGCGAGACTTCTCCGAAGCCCCCTCATTCACCCAGCCCTTGGCCGACCACACCTCCACCCCCGGCTACAGCACGCAGCTTTTCTGCAGCGTCCGCGCGTCCCCCAAGGTGAACCGCAGGGCCCTGCTGTGCCCTGGGCGGGTGGGGGCGGGCAGGGGCAGAATCCTCACAGGCTTCTCCACCAAAACCTGAGGCTGGCCCAGGAGAGCCCCGCACCAGCCCCCACTCTACCCGGCTCTGTTCCGACCACTCCCCCAGCCCAAGATCATCTGGATGAAGAACAGGGTGGACATCCAGGGCGACCCCAAATACCGCGCCCTTTCTGAGCAAGGCGTCTGCACCCTAGAGATCCGGAAACCCAGCCCCTTCGATTCTGGGGTCTACACCTGCAAGGCCGTCAACGTGCTCGGGGAAGCATCTGTGGACTGCCGGCTGGAGGTCAAAGGTGAGGGTGTGAGTAGGGTCACTCCTTAGAACCTTTCCACGGAGGGGAGGACAGGAGAAGCCCCCTGTCCTGCTGGACAAGATGACAAGATGACAAGATGAGGCTGAGCGCTGAAAGCCAAGGCAAGACAGAGGGGAAACGAGGGGTGAAGTCAGGCCGGGAAGGGCTCTCTGGGCGGGAGGAGGGGCGACATGGGGGAGAAGGCAGGGGAGACTGCTGTGCGCAGGCTGCCCGTCTGGGGTAAGGGCTCAGAGCCTCAGGCCTCTCTTGGCCCCCCGACCTCCACACCTGGGTCCCCAGCAGCCACTATCCTCTCCCTGGGTTCTAACCTGCAGAATCTCTTGCAGCCTCAGCCACACACTGAAGAGCTGCCAGAGGAGGCTGCGATCAGGCGAGGGTACGTGGCAGGACCAACACCCTCCAGGGCCTCAGAGGGAGAGGCCGGAGCAGGGGTGCGGGTAGGGGAAGGGGGGGAAGGGGGGAGGCAGTAGTCGACTCTGGGCACAAATCTGGCCACAGGCAACACACACACCGTCCTAGGGTGTTTCACAGATGTGCAGGTGAAGTGGTGGGCATGCTAGTGAGGCTCAGCAGGGCAGTGATTTGAGGGATAGGCACAGGACAGGGGTCTGGTCCTGGCTCTGCATGACCCAAGGCCAGGGCATTCCCTGGGGCCCCTCTTCTAGCCAGGAAAGCAGGGACAATGAAACCGGTGCCCTCCCTCCCCTGCTGGTCTGAGGCTCTGACAGGAGGAAGCATCCTGAGCTGCAGCTGGCATGGCTCAGACCTGGACACTGGGCCTTCAGGAAGGGGGGCCTCGGAAGGAAAAAGGGGTGCTGCTCTCCCACCCCAGCTCCCCTCTTCAGCAGGGCACATGGAGCCCATGACACCAGGGGCTCATGAAGCATGTTCTCCACCAGGTGCCACAGGCCCAAGGGCCCAGAATCAAGCTCCCCGGATGCTCCAGACGCCATGTCCATAGTGACAGCTGATGGCTGTGCTCTCCGGTCCCTGCCAAGCTCCCTCCCCCAGGGGCTGGAGCCCAAAGGTCCCAGGCCAGGCCTCCTGGGCACAAGGGGGCCCGGAAGTTACCCGGATTGGAGTTACCCCTGCAGAGAGTGGCGCAGGGGGCAAGAGGCACTCAAATAAAGGTGTGTGGTGTTAGAGTGCGGGGGCCTCTGTGACGGTGAGCATCATCGTGTGGGGGAGGCGCTGTGTCACCGGGAGGGGGTGTCGAATGCGTCACTATGAGGGGTCTCCCCATGACACCATGAGGAAGGCGCCTGCGGGACAGGCCTCCAGATGTCATGGGGGTCTTCCAGACATGAGGTTTTTTGGGGTCTTGCTTTTGCATTCAGGGTTTGCTACCCCAAGAGCATAACTATAGCAACAGACACAGCCTTCTCAGGAGCCCTGCTTCTCTGAATGCCCCACGTGCCCCCATCCCAGCCCCACTGCTGCTCCTCCTCTGCTGAGGTTGTCTGTTGCCCTCAGACGGTGGGGTGGGGGCAGAGGGGGTAGCCAGTGGTGTGCTCTCCAAGGGTCCAGTCTTTTATTTGTTAGGTGGCCCTCCCTGAGAGCCAGGGGACGGCCCACCTGAGGGAGAGGAAAGGCTGAGGATCAGGCAATTCACACCCAGAACCCAGCCTCCCACCCTCCACACACGGGGCTCCAGGCCTGGCAGCGTTGGACCTTCCTCAGGGGCCCTGAAGGCCTAGCCTCTGCCACAGAGCCCCGCAGCCCCTGGAAACTGTACTAAATGCCAGGGGGTAGTGAGGTTAGTCAAATGCCAAGACTTCCAGCTCACTCTCGGGAGTGGGGGCTTCTCTGGCCTGTCCTGCTTGTCCCTGTCCCAGGGCTGCCCGGAGCCGCCCACCTTCCCTTAGCCACCCCCTCCCCAAGCAGGCAGAATGACCCCAAGAGTTGGCATATCTGCAGCTCTCCTCTCCCTCTGGCCCAGACTGGCAGAGATGGGCGTCACCTAGGAGAGTCCGGGCCAGTCACAGGGGGCAGGTGGAGGTGGTGGCCCAGATGACAGGTAGTTACCCCTCCAGCCCCTCTGGACCCTCAGGGCTAGGTGGGGCTCGGTACTGCCACCTGGTGGCTGTTTGCAGCCAGCACCTATCACACCACACTAGTTCCGGGGGGCTCGGGAGCCCGCACCCAAGGTCCAGGGACTGGTGGAGAGCAAAGCAAATGTTGGGAATGATTCTGCACCTGCTCTTTCCGCCTCCACCAAGTGTAACCCTGGGCTCCCAGGACAAGGGGAACAGGGACCCTGGCACCCTGAGAAGTGGACTGAGGCTCCTGGGTTCCTGCCCCCCAGCAGCTCTGGCCACCTTCTCCTCTGGAGAGAAAACAAGGCCAGGCCATCTGGTTCTTCTCCTTCCCTCCACCCTGGAGGGGATCCCCTCTCCTCTTCTGCAGTTTGGTCCCAAGGCTGCACCAGCACCACCTGAGCCAAGCAGACTCCCCGCCTGCTGTGGAAGCTGAGCTCGCCTCCCAGCCCACACAGCCCCCTCCAACCAGCCGCGCTGGGCTGCCCGGGGGGTGGTCAGGCCCGTGGGGAGGCCCGGCCACTCCTCCCCTCAGGCGACCAGGCTCCTTGCTCACGGACTGCCCTCCCACCTCCTCCAGGACCCAGAGGTGCAGGGCACCCACACCCCACTGCCCAGTGGGGAAGGCTCAGGGAGACAAGCAGGGGGTGGGTGCAAGGACTGGGCCGAGATGCCCCCGATGAGGGCAGGTGGGAGCAGAAGTGGAGTCTAGTCATCGGGCCTCTCTTCTGGGGGGTCCTCGTCCATGGGGGGTGCAGGCTGGCAGCGGAAATGGTCATTCCAAATCTTAAGGAAAGTGACCCGGAACTTCTGGATGCGGAAGGCGTAGACGATGGGGTTCATGGCTGAGTTGCCGTGCGTGAGGAAGATGGCGATGTAAGTGAGGATGCTGGGCTTGTGGCAGGAGGGGCAGAAAAGGGTGATGCTGTTGAGGATGTGCAGGGGCAGCCAGCTGAGGGCGAAGAGGAAGAGGATGAGGGCCAGGGACTTGGCGATCTTCAGCTCCTTCCCGTAGTACTTCTGCGGGTCCCCGGAGGAGGCGGACACCTTCTTGTTGAGCTGCTTGCGGATCAGGTAGAAGACCTCCAGGTAGATGAGGACCATGAGCAGCAGCGGGGGCAGCACCCAGACGAAGAAGTTGAAGTAGACCATGTACTCCATGCTGATGACCTTCTCGAACTGGCACTCAATCAAGGGCTCGCCCCCGCTGTCGTTGGCCGCCCGGTCCCGCTCCACCACGCTCAGGTTGTTCCAGCCAAACATGGGCGTCAGGCCCACCACGAAGGAGAGAATCCAGCAGCCGGCAATGGCCACGGCTGCCCTCTGGGGGGTCACCACCGTCTTGTACCTGGTGGAGAGGAGGGCAGAGTGTGAGGCCCCTCCACGGCTCACCCAGGCCCCGGGGGGCCCCAGGAGGAGCCCCCTCCCCAGCCAGGGCCCAGGGAGGAGGGAGGTGTGTGTCTGCAGGATGTAAACTTAGGCCAGAGCTCGCAGCGCCATGGCTCAGCTCTGCTACAGGGCTGGGAACCCTGGTCAGTGATAGAAATCACAGCAGAAATAACAGAGGACTTCCTTTAGGAGCGTTAATAAAATTACCAAAGTGAAAACGGCTCACTGGTGCTCGGCACACCCACTGTAATCGCATCCCTCCTCCATGACGGCCCTCGTGGGGTAGGAAAGCCCGGTGTGCCCATTGGACAGATGAGGAAACAAAGTCCCAGTGGCCACGCGGCCTGCCCAAGGCCACATGGAAGGTGGCAACACCGCACTGTGCTTCCCAACCCCCAGCCACACTGACCGAAACAGCCAACGATTCACAAACTGCCCCTCCCCTTGGCTGGCTGACACACCTGTCAAAAAAGCCTCCCCACACCCGTCTCCTCTTGGCTCTGCCACAGGGCCCCCGCCAGCGCCCCCACCTCCATCCGTACCCCCTTCCGCCTTCCAGTCACCATGCAGTGCTCATCTCCTGAGGGGCTGAGCTCAAGAACCAGGTCTGCACCCCCAAGCTAATGGGGAATTATTCTCAGGAAAGAAAACAGCTCATCGAGCCTTACTGCAAGCAAGGGACTTGAGTTTATTCATCCACGCCTGGTGCGTTCCCTCAGCACACACTGTTCAGCGTTTTCTGGGCCGTTGCTCTGTGTGCTGGGAACCCGACAAAGGATCCCACCTCTCTGCAGCTCACATTTTGGGTGGAGACAGATAACACAAAAGTAAGGAAGTAAACAAGACAGTGACAGGGTGGGATGTGTCCTTTGAAGGAAATAAACAGGACAAGGTCAAGGGACAGAGCTACCAACCTTTTTCTCATCATTACACACATGGAAATGAAAACGCTTGGGTGACACAGGAAATGGACAAGCCCACCCATGGGCAGTGACTGACCCCCACCAGTGGCTGATGGTTTCCATGTCCTGGGGGCTCTCCACCTCCCCTTAAGCCAGTCCAGCCACAGCCATGGGTCCCCTGCCTGCACGCCGGCCTTGGGGCAAGTGCCAGAACTGGGCTGCCCGGCTCAGTGCCGAGGAGCTGGCTCAGCACAGCGGCTTGCCCACTTGTTATTTTCCAATGCAGCTTCCGAAATGGATGGCGTGCCCTACTGAGTGCATAAACAGCTACTGACACCCATGGGTGTGAAGGGGGAGGCCTCTTCCAGCTCTGCTTCTGGCCTGTGCCTGCAGCATCTGCGGCTTCCTCCTTCGCAGCGTGACGCTCAGGCTTGCTCTCGCCCTGGCCGTGTTTCCATCTACCAAAGCACACTGCTGGTCAAGGGCTTCATGGGGACGGGAAGGGGAACGGTCTGGGGGCTGGAGAAAGCAGACCCCCCACTAGAAATCAAACACTAGAAGGGACCCTGGGATCCTCATGTCCAACCTCCCATCAGGCCATGGGGAGACCGAGGATCCTAGTAGCTCCATCGCCTTTGGTGCAGTGTCCCCTCCCCTACTCTGTGGTCACGGGGTCCCTTGTGACCCGAAAGCACCAAGGTGCCTAAAAGCCGCCCAGCTCATGTGTGCACCCCTGAAGTTTCCTTAGACTTAATCCTTGCTCTCTGGCTGTAACTGAAGCTCATTCCCGCCTCTTGGGTGCCCAGCAGGACAGCCTGGGGCAGACACTGTACGTGGTCTGCAACCTCCTAGATCAGTTCTTCCTCCATAAAATGGCACAGGGGAGCACTAAGAGGGTGAGGGCCACATGGGAAAACATCTATGAAATGCTCTGTAAACACCAATATTCCTGTGTCTGAGCTCCTACCCCTTCAAGCCCCCAGAAACACTCACAACTGGAAAACCTCTGTATCTCCAGGTGCTCAGCAAACAGCGTGACCTCTCTGCAAATACCTGGCTCGGGGCTTGACCCTGCTGATCTCAAAGGGCTCCCCGCACGCCCTATGGTGAGAGAAGCTCTAGGCGTGTCTAGACCAAAGGAGTACAGGTCATTCTGCAGAAGAGAAGGCGAGGGACACTTCACCGCTGTCACAGGTGGGGTGGGGGGCAGGTCCCCAGGGTGAGCCTCAGCAGGACCAAATGGGCTGCAGCTGCAGAAGGAAGGATGGAGGCAGGCACCCCCAACACAGCCCGTCACACATGGTCAATGTCACATTTATCATTTACAAAACCTTTGACATTCGCATATCTCAGGCAATCTCGTGGCCACCTGTGAGGTGAGCACAGCACCTAAGGGAGCCCCCGTTCACAGATTAGAAACCCAAGGCCTAGAGGTGGGCAATAACTTGCCCAGGTTTCCTGACTCCAGGACCAGCTCTGCTCCAGGGAACCCAGCTCACAGCAGGCCACTTGGATGGATGATTGGCAGGTTGGGACGCCCCTTTCCTATGAGCTTTAAAATGGCAATGTCTGGGCCCTGCTCCAAGAGGGGACCCACCAGGGGTGGGGGGTGGGCAAGGGGGCCTCTGGAGCTGCTGTCCAGCCTGAGGACAGGGGGTCTAGCCCAGGAGCCACATCTGGGCAGCAACGGCCCACCAGGAGGAGATAAACACCGCCAGGGTGTCGGTGGGGGAGGAGGTGGCAACCTCCAGCTAGGGGTGCCCCTCCCTCCCCTCCCATCCTTCCCGACTGCCTGGAGCCTCGGGGTGAAACCTTTCCTGGGGCTCCTCCAGGGCCAGGTCCCAGCAGACCCCGCCGCTTAAGGTATCAGTTCTCATCTGTTTTTCTTGCTATTTTCTCCGTGGTGGGAAAGGGCTGGACCCAGAGCCTCAGCTGAGGTGGGGCGGGCTCTCACAGGAAGGCTGCTCCCGGGGCCGGGGAGAAGCTCACCTCTCCCTACACGTGGGAAAGGGCAGCAGAGGGGCCCTCAGACCCACGGTGCCCACAGAGCGGGCA